CCCACTTCAAAAAGTCTGAACTACCACTTTAATTGAGTGCAACGGAAACAACAAAAGTTGAGGTGATGTCATCAAACACACTGAGTGTAATTTGGATTTGAACCACCTCTCACCTGAAACTCTTTGGCAGACTTAGTGTAGAATCTGATCCCACCCGTCACTGTTTCTGCACAGAGAACGGGGACTATCTCCCTGTCATCAGTGAACTGCAGAGGACATAAATCTTGTGTACACACGACCTGTGCTTAAATCAGCTATCTGGCCTGCACTCCTGTTCGTCCTCATCATGTCTGTGCAAAGTCCAGATCTTTTTGATACTGCTGCTAAATCCATTTGTGGCCTGTTATTTAAAAAAAAAGAGCTCATTGAAAGTGTTCCAGACAAAAGCTGAAATCTGACACTGGAAAATCCGGGGCTGGACTTTTTACKTCAAGTTTTTTTTTTATTTCTAAAACAAAATCATCCATTTGTTTTTGCAAATTGTCATCTGACAAGCAGTCTAACTTTATCAGTTCAGCTGGTGCCCTAATGTCGTTTGACAGCTAACAAAATCAAGAAAACAATTCAGTGATATATGAGCCCAAGAATCAAAGCAGGTCCTGTTGGTTCCTCCTGAAAGCCTCAGCTAAAGTTGCACAAGACAGGCCTTGTGAAGAACCACTGACCCATCGACTGCTGTGATCCATGTCTGACTGACATCAATACACATTCATMCGTGCTCGTTTCACCTCAGGGCTACTCCACAGCGAGATACTGCAGGTTGGCATGAAATCTGGATGGACAGCAAGCATCACTTTGCCTTCCACCCTCGAATAATCATCGATATCTAACACCAGAGGTGCTGAGCCAATGGATTGTTTGCTTGGCTGCCAATTACTCATTGCTAAAAAGACAGAAATCTCATTGTTCAAAMATCCTTTGTTTCACTCTGATTTATTGGAAAAGGAGTAACATTTGGTAAAATTCCTGAACAACACAGGTAATCCAGTTCAWGATGGTTGCCACWTTCAATTGATCCTATCAGATCAATCAATTATCTTGACCTGGATTCTTCCTGTCAGGGTCACATGTGCCCATTTACAGCAGTCACAGCACGAGAGGCGAATGCACCCTCTACCCTGATCCTTGACTGGGATTCAATCATGCAACCCTTTTTTTTTTTGCTGAGAGGCAACAGATCTGCAAACTGAGCCACTATGCCACACCTATCAAATCAAATCTAATCTCGTTTATGTACAACTGTCACTGGCCAAAGTGCTGCACAAAACAAGCAATAGCAAAGAAAAAAAGCACTAAATATGAGACAAACAAAAAAATAATAAATAAACAAATAGGATGTGACATAATAAAACCAGTAAAGTTATAAAAACTCGACTCTCATGCTGTACCAAAGGCCAGTGAGTATCAATCTGTTTTAAGACGATGGCTTAAAAGTTTGCAGATATTTTGTCACATTTTCTGTCAGTCATCTAYTCTGATCACCAGCTCAGCACACCTGTTCATCAGCTATCCTCCCACCTGTTCCCATTCACTGATCAACCCTTGCTTGTTGTTACCAGGTTSTCATAGTCCTGCTCCTTGTGTCCTGTTAGTTCTGTCTCTGTCCTGGATTTTAGAGGCTACAATATAAGTGGCTCCTGATCTCAAACTCTGAGATGGATGGTGGTAGAAAATATACATTCCTCTTTTTAGAATACTAGGTATTCAAATTGAAATGTAGAGATGAACAACTATGAATTTCTTTTAGATTTGAGTTGTTTTAAAATGTTGGTGATCTTCTTTGGCCCCATTCAGCCSTAGCTTGTCAATCCTGTCAGAATTAGGTCCTGTTTTAATGAGAATGACTCTTTAGTAATATTTCTTTGAAAACTTGTTTTAGTGGAAATTCCTTTAAAGGGGCTATGTCATGTAAAATCAGCTATTTTGAGCTTTATATCATGTTACGATGTCATCCCCTCTTCAAAAACATACAGAGTCATTTCTGCATGTATGAAATCCTGTGGCAGCTCAGGAGAACGAAAACAACTGGTTGGCCCTAGAACCACCTTTTAGGAGCAGCTCCTCCTCTGGGCTGTGTCTCCAAGCCCAGCCTCCTCATCACAGAGCACACCTCCCCTGCGACTCCTGCAGGCTATCAGCAGCAACAACTGGCAAACACCTGCTGGAATCGGGTGTTCTGAGCTCGTAATACTAACTACTTCTCAGTCCATTCCTTTTCAGATTAAAAAAAGGCATTAGAGGAAATGTCTTTTTGGATACCAAATGTCATGACACGGTTCTTAAGAAATAGTTTGATTTCATTTCTGGAAAAAATGAAATTGAAAAAAAAAAGTATTTATTTATGTGCCAGCCACTTTATGGATGATAGCTTTGTGAACAAAAGTGGATTTAACAGTGGACTAATAACAAGATAATCACTAAAAGATGATGCAACACTCAGAAGTACACAAACACTGTTGTTGTCTGCCCAGGTAAGCTGTAAAACAACTCACATTGCTTTGTTCAGTTGTTTGGTTYATCTGTGATCTATGATCTGTGTTGTTTAGTTGGCTTACACAACATTTTAGTAATAAAGAAATTAGCTTAACATTGATGTGTGTATATGTGAGGATGACTGGGATCTTAACAGCTGAAATGTCACATCTGTAATCACTCCGGTTCTTCAGAAAACATACTTTACGGTCCGATTGTAAAGCGCAGTTGTATCCTGAGTTGCCTTTTTACAAAATCAATATTGTATAATGTTGTTGCTTTTTTACAGAGGTTTATAGTAACTAAGTACATTTACTTTGTCACAGTACTTAAGTAATTTTTAGAGAATTTGTAATTTTACCAAGTATTTTTTAAATTGTGAATTTTACTTTTACTTAGTCACTTTTAAAACCTAAAATGATACTTTTACTTCTTTACTTTAAAGCAGAGGAGCCCAAAGTGGGGCCCGCGGGCCAAATTTGGCCCGCCAAGCCATTTGATTTGGCCCACCAACAGTTGCCAAAGTTACAGATTTAACCCCACATGTAGAGTTTTACACTTTATAAGGCCACAAAAACTCATATTTTATCAATTTATGAAATGTCCCATGAGCCTTTGCTACTTGAGCGTATGGCAGACTTTCTCCAAGTGCACAGACTAAAACAAAAGAGGGCCATTGCATAGCTTAATCGTTTAAAATAAAGGACTTTACTTAAAAAAGTATTTGTATTTCATGTATTATACTGTATAACTGCATTTGGCCCGCAGCCRTGGATAGATTTTCATTTTGGTCCTCTCGGGGAACATGTTTGGGCAGCAGCCCTGCTTTAAAGTGTAACACCTAAACTGTTATAAATTAAAATTAATGTCTGAACTCATCATGAAAGGAGTTATTTATGTGCTCTAAAAGAAATTAAGTGTTGAATTTACTCAACTAAACCATATCAACTATTTCTACTAAACCTAGTAGAGTAAATCTGAGGTGATATACATATTTTATTTTAAAGAAATTTACCAGTTTAATCAACTTGGTTTTGTGAAGCCAGTTTGTTTCTGTGAATTTAACAGTTTATTTGTTAGAGAGTGTGGAAAATTACTTTTACTTTTACTTCTAATTTACCCATTTTTGTGAACAGTTTTATGACTTTTACTTGGGATTCTCATCAGTGACATTTATTTTTACCAAAGTCATTTTCTGTTCATGTAATTTTACTTTTACTTAGTTATTAGTTTGTTGTGAGTTTGTTTGTTAGTTTTTTCCCCTGTGTTGTGGATGAAACTTTTTTTTGAAACAGCAGTGTGTTTGAGGGAAAATATCTCTTTGAAAAGATGGAGTAATGTGGACATAAAAAAACACATCATGGCTTTAATTAAAAATGTGTAAACTATTTTCACTCACCTGAATTGAGTAAAGGTAACACAATTGTGTTACACATAAACCAAATGTGTAACTCAGTTCATTTGAGTGGAAACCATTGACATTCTTTTTTTTAATATTAAATCTGTTTTTGTTCAAACAAGTTATCCACAACAGGTAAGATATTATTTGTTCACAACTTCCACTTCAAACAGATATGAGCTGAACTTTTTATTATTCCCTCCCTCATCTCCACAGAAACTGCTAATCCAGAGGTTTGWATAAGTGAAGAAGCTTTAGTTTAGTCACCATGAATTGTGTCACATTAATACACTCAGCTCTGTAAATTCCTCAMTAAATTGTATTTTAAACTAAGACATTTTTATCAACAATGAGAATATTAAGCTTTGTATGAATCCCTCTGCAGCTCATTTACAGACAAGCAGAGATGCACCCATTAGCCAGTTAAGACACATCAGAGCTCTGACTGGATGTTGGTTTGCTGCTCGCTGAATTTGCTTTGAAAAAAAAAAAATCCTAAAATGTTTTGTTTTTCATGCAGCTCTGAACGTTGCTGAAGATGCGCTTGGTGCTGAGCGGCAGCATCAGGACGGAACCGGATCCTCAGACTGATGAGGGCTCTAACTGGTCTGTCTAATGCTCCGTCGATGGATGGACTGCCAGCTCGGAGGAGACGTTCCGGAGCGRGTCCAGCAGATGGATTTCAGAGGGAGGGGAGGAGGAGGGCGAGCTGGTCTGCAGAGAGAGGTTTGGATCGGTGGGAAGAGACGCCCTCTTCTTGAGCAGCCGGGATGTGCAGCGATGATTTCTTCCAGGAGGAACACAGACGAGCAGTTATGCTCTCTCTCTCTCTCTCTCTCTCTCTCTCTC